CGTAAGAACCACGCATACCTCAAGGCTGAATTTGAAGTACTTAAGCTCTACTTGGACAGGGAATATTTCCTCAGAATTTCAGCTTTCCAGCTTTTCTGATTATGAATTAGCAATTTTCCGGCCGGAACCTTCATTTACCCATACTTGGGTACCCCCCGTGCTTAGAAAGCTGAATTTGAAATTTTTAAATTACACTTGGGCAGGGAATATCCCCTTAAAATTTTAGCCTTCCAGCTCTTCTGGTTGCCGAATTAGTAATTTCCCCTCTAAAACTTTCATAGGCCCTTACGTGAGTACCACGCATAGTTTGGGGTTGAATTTGAAACGTTTGAGCTGTACTTGGATATGGAACATTACCCCAGAATTTCAGCTTTCTAGCTTTCCTGGTGCCCGAGTTAGCAATTTTTCCCCTAAAACTTTCATGCGCTCTTACGTGAGTACCACGCACACTTGGGGGCTGAGTTTGAAGCCTTTGGCTAGTACATGCGCAGGGAATATCCCTACAAAGTTTCAATCCCTTAGCTCGTGTGGTTCCCGAGATAGCTTTCTCGCTAAAAAATTTGCATACTTCTTTAAAGCGTCCGTACGCGGCACCCAGGCGTCCGCGGGGGAAAAAATTAAAACGGGAAGGTCGCGCATGGTACAGGCACATATCCTTAAGGTTTCAGCCTTCTAGCTTTTCTGGTTCTCGAGTTGAAAGTGGGCGACAAAAAGTGCGAACACACAGACACACACACAGACGTTTTGCAATTTACATATATGCAAAAACGCATAAAAAATGCATAATGCAATAAAGAGGAATGGAGTACTGATGCATCCAGTGTGAAAATAAGAATTGCAGTGCGGTTCCTTTACCCCAAAATTTAACTAGAAGGATGTATTAGCCGAACTGCAACTGATTTGCAAGAGCTTAAATTGCAACACTCAGATTTAGGCCGGCAGCTAATCATTTTTTACGTAAATAATACTGATTTGTAAAATTACTTTTCACTCCTGCCAAAAAAAATGAAAAGAGACGTGGATTTGAAAGCTTAAGATAGAGGAAAATGGAGACGTTGCCAGCACTGATGATGGGAAGTAATGCGGCAGTGTAACAGTTAATGATCAAAATACCTAAACATATGCATATATTTTTTGTCTTTTCTTAATAACACTGAAATTTTTGAAGGAATTGTTGAAACAATATCGATTACCATATGGATTAGTTATGAGTGTTTCTGCTTTTCACAAAAAAATAAATGGGATAAGTTTTAACTTTAAATGGAATAAGTTAAGTTTTAACTTTTGATTTAAGACTTCATTTTTATGCGTTTTTGCCTATATGCAAATTGCAAAAACGCATATTGGGACGACCCTGTC